AACCCCTCTAGCAGACTCTGTATGAGAATAAAAAAAAATATTCCTATGCAATATTTTATATTTACCTGACTCCAAAAAAAATATTTTTTGTTTAGTACTGACCATAATAGAGAAAAAAAATATATGCAAAGCCACTATACATTCCTATACTTATACATTCCTACACTGTACTTTAAGGCTACAGATTCTCATATAATTCTGCAGCTGGGTAGTAAAAAAATAATTATCCAACCTTTGCAAGAGTGCAAGAGTTAAAATATTTAAAACAGTTAAAATATAATAAAAATATTAAAGTATATCTTTAGTGAACGAAAAGTGCCCAAACTGACTCCTTCATCTCCAGGTGCCCAATTTCCCCAAAATCCAGCTTTCTTTTATGTACCTTCTCACCAGAGCTGGTAAGGTCAAGCTGTGGTCTGCCTCTATCTAGCTTATACACTTATTAGCTACTAAGTGTGCCCATGAGAGTGTTTGGCCAATAACTGGGAGTGGAAGCAGAAAAGGGCAGACCTGTGCTTGGCTTTCAAGATCTGGTAGTAATTTACATTATAGAACTTCCTATGTTTGGAAGGTTATCAATAGTTCTGAAACAAAGCTGAGGTGACTTACAAACACCTTTAGTTGCCAACTATTTCAAGTGTTCCTTTAAGCCAGGGGTCATAAAGTACCATCCTGCAGGGCAAATTCGTCCCGTGAACCGGTACCATGTGGCCCACAGCTGGCTGACAAGTCAGGCACGTAGTCATGGACTGCATACCTTACTTGGAGGAGCAGCTACACGGTCTGTATCTATGTCAGATGCAGACCACATGGCTGCTCTTCGCAGTGCCAGCGCTCAGTGTGAGTCAGATGACAGTGTGTGACTGTCACTCTGACAGCCTTCACTGAGCGCCAGAAAGGATTAGTAAGGTCTGCACCATCCAAAGGTGCAGACAGTACTAATCAACCACTGAGCCACTAGGGAATGAATTTCTAGATGGCTGCAGAAAGGAAAGGGGTAGAGAGGAATGTGAATGACGCGAACTCCTCCTATGTGGGATAAATATGGAAAGGTGCTCCTCTAGATGCATAATTGAATGTTTGTTTTATGTTCTATTAAGAGCTGTGTCATAGCCTCCAGCAGAGAAAGTCATGACCATTTAGCTTAAATTCAGATTCTTGTGCTACGTGTGGGTGGGAGACATATTCGGCTATACTGAGAGAGATGGTGACTGACCTCTTAGTGGACTTTCTAATGTGACTGCTATGCTTCCATGAAAAGGTTTCAGAACATATTCTGTGGCTATGTTGTGTGTCCCACAAAGGGGCTTTTCGGTGTTGCCTCTGCTCAGCTATTGTCCAGTTAAAAGGATCAGCATTCTTGGGGGAATTTAAGCTGGGAAAATAAGCTGTCATAACAGTTTTTTTTAATCACAGTTGCTTAGCTACAAAACCTTGACAGTTCCGCCCCATTCTGTGGTAGCGTATAATCGATGTTATAAAATGAGTCTACTGTATTTGACTATCCTTCCCCCCCTACAGGCTACTGTATCTGACTACCATTGGGGAGGCTACTGTGGGGCTCAGTGATGTCTTCTTCAACCTTCAGGTAGAATGGAGTGTTGGCCTCAAGAACTGATGCATACACACACTGAAAATCCATTCGGGTAATTTGATTTGGTAATTATACAACATTATACAAAATTCCCACTGCAAGTGGATGGGCAATAATTTAATAGGCAGTCTATTGTCTCCGCCTTGGGAGAGCAGCTACATGGTCTGCATCTCTGTCGGATGCAGGCCACATAACTGTTCCTGGAGTTGTCAGCACTCAGCACATGCAGACATTAACACTGGTACCGTATATAGCAATTTTTTTTTTTAAAGTATGAAATGTGCTTAACCCTATCACGACCAGTGACATACATAGTAAGTCACTGGCAGCGGGCCCCTGTAAACGAACCCGCCGCAACTCTGTTTACCTTTGTAAAGCCAGCTTTCGGCTTTACAATAGAAGCAATTCTGGCGGCTCATCTGCCGCAAGATCATTTCTATGGGCCAGTAAAGAGCCTGTCCCCTCACCCGACACCTCCACCGTGTTTCCCGGGCTTCGCTGCCCCTCCTGCAGGCCTGGGACGGGTGCAGACGGGAAGCTGGGGAGAAGAGCGGTGAACACCAATTGACCGATCTCCTCCCCGCTCTATGGGACCGGGAGCGATGCGGATTGCATTACTTCCGATCCCTGAGCTGTTCTTGCTTGGCTTCTGAAGCTGAGCAATACGCTATTGAAGTGCGATCTGCACTTAAATAGCTTATTAAAAGTGGAAAGGTGACACTAGGGGTCTTTTGAACCCCTAGTGTCATCTTAAAGAGGACCTGTCACCACCAAAATGCTATCACATGTAATGGCAATTAAATTAAAGAAAAAAAAAGTTATAAAACAATAATATAGAAAATAAATGTAAAAATAATAAAGAGCATTTTTTAAAAGGCCCCCGCAAGCATGCCCATATTCATGCAAACATGTATTGGGTGCGCTTACCTACGAAAACATTGATCGTGCTACACATGTTGGGTATCGCCGCACACGCCAGTGAGTGAGAGCAATAATCCTAGGGCCAATATTTACGCATATCTGTAAACTGATGACCTCAGTTTTAAAATTACATCTATGGAATTTGTGCGCCACTGAATTCTGGCGCCGTTTCTCGGATGCACGTAATTTTTAATCTAATTTTTAACCTGGGCATGTTGGGTATCTATTTACTTGTCATAACCTCATCTTTGGTATTTAAATAAAAAATGTGGGGGGCACTGAAATTAACAAGTGCATTTTTCACTAAATGTTTTGATTTGATAAAGAGTTGCGCCAATATCACTGCCGCAGGAAGTGATTTCAGCTAAGAGTGTGGAATCATTCAAGAAACTCCTGGACGAGTTCCTCGGAGACCATAATATACAGGGGTACAGGTACGCCTAAGAGCAAAATCATACATGGACCAATACACACTCACACACCAACTCAAACATAAATACATACACACAATAGGTTGGACTTGATGGACTTATGTCTTTATTCAACCTCAAATACTATGCAACTATGTAAATATTCTGCAACATAAAAAAGTTGCAACTGCCACCATTTTATTCTACAGGGTGTTGTTTTTCAGAAAATATATAATGTTTTGGGGGTTTTAAGTAATGTTCAGGCCTAAAATGTGCTAATATCATGTGTGCAAAAAATTAAATAAAGGCCTTGGAAGAGAAAGGGTCCTTATAGGGTTAAATTTGGGGGAAGAAAATTTGTCCAGTGGCCCCCAAGTGACTTGAGTTTGAGACCCCTGCTTTAGGCATTTTACATCAATTACAGGTACGCTTTAATTGAAAATGAGTGACAAAACAATTTGCTCGACTAGCATTTAGCTTATAGAGATTTACTATAAAATATTTAAATCAGCTCTGCCCTGTTCTGTAAAGCCTGATGACATCTTGAAAGTTGGGCCGCAGTCTAGATGGTTATGACTAGAAATGGGCCATGTTCCTGCAGTAGTGGGCTCAGGGCAAAATTCATTGGCATTCCTGTCCATGTTAGCACCACCCACTTACGCCAGTGACTCAGAGACTTATGGAGGTGAAATTAGGATGTGTGCAGAATTCACAGAATGGTGGTTTACAGATTGAACAGGCATTGGTGTGGTACGACTGGGCATGCTGTTCATCTTCAATTGCAGTAGCACCCTTTTGTTCTCGTACCTGTTCACTTATCTCTCCTAGGAGGTCACTGTTGTAGGAAGATTGGTGAGCTACAAAGCAGCACCAAGTCTAAAACAAATTGGCGAAGCTGCAGCAATCTGGAGCTAGTGTTATAATGTAGTGCAGCAATGTGAAGAAAAAGGAAAGACCTTCCTGTCAGCCGAAGTGTGTAACTAAAGCACTCCACAGAGTCTTGTTTTCTGCAGTTGTGAATGTTACTACCTTGCTTGCCTTATCTCAACAACTTGCATAGAGTTGTTTGGGCTAAGACCATGTGCAAAGGACACTAAGAGTACCTTTCAAAAGACCACAGCTATCCTGAGTATTAATTGGGCCAAGTGTTCATTGCGCAACATAAAGGTGGACTGAAGAATACCTTTCATAGGAGAAACATTGAGGCTGCCATTGCTGATTTCATATTCTGTAGAAACTAGGTGCCTGGTTGTCATGCTAATTCTCTCGCTTCCATATTCTAAGTCATTGACCTTACTGATTCACTCTGATTTTTCTGATTTGGGTGAGTGACTCAAAAAGTAATAAAGAAAGAGCCGAGCAACAAACATTTTCAGAAGTAGGTCAGCAATGGCAGCTCACATATTCCTTTTAGGAAAGGTTTGCTTTAATTGCAGACTTCCAGGGACAATGCTATTGTGAATCCCAGCAGAAGCACTTCCTGAACCCAAAATATTACAGCACACAGTAGGGGAGTTCATTACATTCTTAATTACAAACTGGCAACATTTAGCAAGGCCACCACTGGTCAAAACTGAAAATAAATCTGATTGTTTTTGTACATTTTACAGTCAGACTCAGAGAAAAGAAAATTGTTTAATAAGCTCAGCCAATTGCCCTTTACATAAACAAGTAGCCTCGGGTACTTGGACAACAGAAAATGTCCAATATTTCTTGTATGAATAAGCGCATTTTGTGCATATAGAGTTTCTTGTAAGAAATCTTGAAGTCAACAAATGGACTCCATTAAGCTAATGCTCTAGGGTAAGTGAAACCTGAAAATGTAATTAACTACTTGGTTATATCCTTCCATGTAATCTAGAAAAAGAAACCGTTCAAATACATTCAGGGTATGATTTACTAAAGGGAAGGGGAATTAAACATCCAATCTTATGCAGGGGAAATTGAAAAACAGAAGCTTCCGCACATGAGTGCATGTTTGAGACAAACACTGATTCACTCCACATCACTTTACTTTAGAAAATCCCTACTTGGAGATTTTTATGAAGATGAAAAAGAAGATACGCAAGCCATTGTACCAGAAAAAGGTGCAATATATTTCATAATATTTTTTTTTCTTTTGCAATGTGTACCATTCAAACATTTTGATTTCACTACACCAAGAATACCTTAGTGCATAGTCCCCATTTTTAGGGTTAGGCAACTTATGGCTGACCTCTAGTTCCAACTATGGTCTGTACACTAGTGGCACAGGTTGTCTATCCTTAAATGTATTAGAATATAGCAACAACTTCTAAAAAAAAATGGCAAATACATTCTTTATTGGCATGGTAATGCTCCGACCTAAACCATTTAAGTTACCGCAGTGCCTATGCATGCAATGTATGTATTTCTGATATATATAGGGCAAAGGAAGTAGATGAATTTTAGGACAATGACATGGTTTGTGTGTGAGATTATATATAAACGCTTACACAGTTTTATATATAACAGGTTGTGTATATAATATATGTTGGCTTCTTTAAATTAATATTTCAAGGGCTTATAAAACATTATACAACTGATCCTTTTCATTTGTTCAGTATTTAGATTGCCTCTAAACATACACAGAAAAATACAGATATAACTGACAGATCCAAACCAAGGCTGAAACGCTAAAAGCTCATATTTTTTGTTTTGGACAGGGGAATAGAGAAGGAGCAAAACCAAACATAAACATAAACAAAAATAAAAATAAATTTCAAATGCTTTCATCAAAGTTTATGCAATTTTTGTCAGTGTAGTGTTTGGCCCTTCATGGGGGGGGGCCTGGCTGTACTGATCTTGTGAGGAGAAGTCTGGAGCCGAGCACTGACAAGACGTAGTCCCTCTCAACACACCAGAACCCATTCCTTTGACGCCAATTTCACCAGGTTTAGATTAGCCATTCCTTTTTGCTCTCGTCGATGGTCTCAGTAAAGTTGGGGTCATTGTTGATGATGGCGGCATCAGCATTGTCTGCAGATTCAGCTCCCTTAGCTTCATTGGTGTGGTAGGTCCCCTTATGGCGAAACATGTAGCGTATCAGGAACACCAGGGTGCAGAGTATAGTGAAAATCACCACTGCGATGATACCTGTAGAAAAATAAACGCCATTTATAAAAAAACTTTTTGAAGAAAATATAAAGGTTTTAATCTAATGACATTTTCTAAAGCATCTTAAAGAGACTCTGTCACTGGGGTAACATTGGGCAAACCGCTGGGGGTAGAAAAAAAATTGAAAAAAAAAAAAAAGACACCAAGATGACTGCACTGCACATTGTGAATTTTGCAGGAAAAAATCAAAATGGAGCCATTTTTGTTTTGGATTTGGCAAGGGTAGAAAAGGGTTGGAACCATAGCAAAAAAAGCAGCGGTGATTGATTGAAGCAACAATTAAAAACGCTAAGCGGTTCATTTATAAAAGTTCCATCCTGGGTATAGCCGGGCACTAGTGCCCCTAATTGGTGCTGACTAGGATAGGAATTTTCTATCCTGGTCAGCACCATCTAGGGGCACCATCTGGTATGTATTAGAATCCATATAAGAAACGTTTAGCACAATGAAAATTCTCAGGAAATTCAACATCAGATTATGTGTATACAGTACTTGCCTGTACCTGTATATTTCCACAGAACTATATCATATCATATATCAAATATAACCTGGTATCTTCTTGTAGTCCCCTATACAGTAGCACTTTAGCTCCTTGTGCTGTGTCTCCATCTTCTAATCGGTTGTGCTGCTGTGACCATATGCTAAAAAGCAACATACTAATAGGAGGAGAACGCAGAGTGACAGAGAGATGAGCTCATCAATCTGCTGCTTCTCTGTCCAGTCACAGGCTGAGAGCAAACACTAGACCTAGTTTTACTGCGTAATTGCAGTAGAGAAAAACCAGGTTTGCTGCCCTGGCAGAAAGGGTTGTGCTGTTTGATGGGCATTGTCAATCTCAGTACTCAAAATACAAATCCTTTGGCAAGTAAAACATTTCTCTCACATGTATTTCATTTGTGCATTTAGCTGTTTCCCTGAAATTTAGCTCTACTTAACACATTAACTATCACTTTCTCAAACAATTCATCCCCACACAGCCCCCACCTTTTGTATCACTTGCCCCTCCCTTTTAGATTGTAAGCTCTCACAGGCAGGGCCCTCCTATCCATCTTAATAAAGAGATGTCACCAGCACACCAGACTCCTTCAAGGATAGTCAATCGTGAATTTATTCAAAACGTATGTCAAATACACAAGTGCTTTTGGGACCACACAGGATTCCTTCATCAGTCACTGCTATGCCTGATGAAGGAATCCTGTGTGGTCCCGAAAGCGCTTGTGTATTTGACATACGTTTTGAATAAATTCACGATTGACTATCCTTGAAGGAGTCTGGTGTGCTGGTGACATCTCTTTATTATCTGCAACTGGTGGCGCCATCCGCGGTCATTCCAAGCACCCTTCCCCATATTTGGGATTATCCGGTAAGGAGTGCAACAAACCTTTCTCTTCATCTCCTATCCATCTTGTCTTGAATTATATTGTATCAGTACTATGTTTCTTAATATTGTAGAGCGCTGTGCAAACTTTTGGCTTTAGATAAAATCTGAATATTGATAATAATAATAATAATGTTACCACAAATTATATGGCAATCATTTAAAAGTACATAACATATCACCACTCTCCAAGTAAAGTTAGCAAAAAGCTATCACTGCTGAAACTAAAGTGATTTCATTACTCTTCAGATAAAGGGATAGTATTTCACATTTCATTCATTTACCTCCAATGATTGCAGAGTTTCTGTTCACACCATCTTTAATGGCTTGTCCTTCGTTGTTCGGGAAGTTGGCAGTCTCTGTTTTGAATAAAAAAAATGAAGATGATACAATTCAACATTCAAAAACAGACTTGTATCTGTTTACAGAATATTACAGGTTGGTAATTAACATTTGCCAGGAGGTCAATGGCTCGAATGACATAATAAGGCATTAAGTTAATCAGGTTTGTGTGTTCTGTGTTTGCAGGAATAAGGACTATAACTCTGTAGCTGCAGCTGGTAATGCCACGAACATCAGGCTTCAAGATGGGTCTCAGGATCAGTGTACCATTGGGCATGAGCCCCAATACACAGTTTACTTACCTTTGTTCTGCTCTTGTAATCCTACTTGATATCTTAGTCTGACTTTACAAACCCATAACCGATTGGTTATAAAGAGAGTTGCCAGCTCAACCCTATGTGGCTCAGTAAATGTAAATGGCAACCATGGCAGTGGCGTAACTACCGCCATAGCGACTCACGCGGTCGCAATGGGGCCCGGCCGCCCGGGGCAGAAGGAGGCCCGGTCAGGAGCAGGCTAAGGCACTTTTTTTTCTTAGTACCGCAGCTGCACAGACCTTTTCAAGCAACTGTTGTGTGCCTGCAGCCACTAGGCGGAGTGATCTTTTCGGCTGTGCCTTCGGTTCTGACATGAGAGCCAGCAGAAGAAATACACGGAGAACTTTCAACACAGTGAGTAGAGATCGGTTAGTAAGCTGTCTGTCCTCGTGCATTTCCTCCCTCTATCTGTCAGAGATAACAGATGTGACAGTTTACTGATTAACCTCTGCCCTGCTGCACTATCCTGGTCACCTTTCATTCTCTCATGGTGTCATAAAAGTTCTCTAGACGTCCGGTGTTGAGTCTACACTGCCCCCATGTCTGTGCACTCATTATTTCTGCTGCACTTTGCTTTAACTCTATAGATGAATCTCTGCTGGAGTCTCATGCCATGGCCATCCGTATCAATCAGCACAGTTCCTCTACAGTCATTCTTCTCTCCATCTGCATTGTCACCGGCTCTCTTCTGTGACATTTTATCTCTTATATTTTTTTCTTATTTATATTCTTTTATCTCATCTTCATCCTGACACTGCTCCCTTTTATATCATCTTCATCCTGACACTGCTCCCCTACTTCTCTCCATCCTGACACTGCTCCCCCACATCTCCGCACACCCAAGAAAAATGCTAAGTGTACCCTTTAAAACCTGGTAGAATAAAAAGGCTTACCTCCCATATTTCTTGCACTCATCCAGAAATTACTATTGAGTTTCATGCTGCTGGTATGTTTAGGCTCTGACAGACAGCAGCCAGGGGCACAGCTACAGCAAGATTTTAATGGACACACGGCAGTGTCAACTGGCACAATATGTGTGACTGATCTTAAGATAAATTATGTCTAAATCAGGGATAGGCAGCAGTAGAGCTGTTGGCATAGGTGATACATTGATAAGGATCAGGGTTGAAGATGTTTCATAGTTTATGCAAGCCACTTCTTCAGTTCTGAAAAAGTGGCGTGGATAAACTAAAAAACCTTTTTAACATTACAGAAAAAGTCCAGTTGAATATGAATAGTTAATACAAACACTTCCCCCTATAAGTGACACTAAACTCAGAAGTTCAATCTTAAAAATGCATTCAAGTACCTTTAAATATTAACGAAAATGTATCTTATTTCTGCATCACTCAGCTATAGATCCTCAAATCATCTCTGAATTGGTGCTGACACTGTCCTTTGTTCTGGGGGGTGACTACTTTTGTTCCCCATGGTACCTGTGTGTGTTGTAAAGTAGGCACTGCTGCAAGCTTGCTCCTGTGATGGATTACAATCTCATGTTTAGTTCACTAATTTGTATTGAAATTATAGTCCATCACAGGAGTGAGTTTGGCGCAGTGGCTAGTTTATTACACACACAGGGACTATGGGGAAACTAAAAAGTAGCCACCCTCCAGAAAGAAGGACAGTGTCAGCAGGAATTCAGAGATGATTTGAGGATCAACAGCTGAGCGATACACAAATAAGATACATTTTTGTTAAGAGCTAAGGTACTTAAATCTATTTTTAAAGTTTCAATCCTGAGTTTAGTGCCACTTTAATGTAGTGATAGAACTTTTGGTGTTTTCTTGTGTTGCACAGTCAAAACTAGAGATCTCACTCATGCAGGAGAAAGACTGCCCTTGTCACTGCATTAGACCCAAATATAAGCCCCTTACATAAGTCTATAATTGGGCTAGTGGGGATAACTATTACATATATAACTCTACATAAGCAAAGAAAGGTTTCATATAATCTCTTAAGTAGTCTCTGAGGCTGGTTTTTTTCTTAATGAGAGATCTTCAGAGGTTCAGCCACAGTTGCAGCATATATATATCTGACCAACAGTGGCTCCACTTTTTCCACTGTAGCTACCGCCAATAATTCTGGTGCTGGGCTGCTTAGGGAGTTAGAAAGCCATTGTCCAGAGCTAACAGGGCGGCGCTACAAATTGTAGCTGGAGAGTATAGTGAGATGTGTGTTTGTATGCGGACTGAGAAGAGCACATCATCCTCGTCATGATGGGGCAGGCCAATGGCTTTTCCTGAGCTCACTCAGCCACTTGGAGGAGATCTACAACCTCATCAATTACAAGATGGGCTGCTATCAGTTGAAGATGCCCCAGTTGGAACATGTAAGAGTCAGGGGACCCTGTACTTCTCTGGGTATGGTCATTGCTTACCTCCAATCATAATATTTAACTATCACATTAGCCTCACACACATTACCTGAGCACCAATGCAAAGGTTTTTCCCTGAGCACCAATGCAAAGCTAAAGTTTTGTGCTGAGCACCAATGCAAAATTAGAGGGGTTGCCACTGAACGCCAATGCAAAGTTTTTTGCGACTCTGTAATTCTGATATTTAGTATGCAATTATGTTTTATATTTTATTAGAGTTTGTGTTTGTTATATTTATATATTGTTTGCTATATCTACAACTCACTGATTACACTAAAGATTATGCTAATGTACTGGAAGCTGTGAATGAGAAAATTAATTCAAGGGTTCCCTAAGATCATGAAACGTTTTCAAGGGTTGAGAACGAGTACTCTAAAGTATATGTCATGTTTGAAAAGTATGTGTACTTATGCAGAATATTATACGATATACGGATGACAAAATCAGACCTGAGGGATAATGAAAATTCTCATGGGACGATTTACCTTCTGTATCTAAGTAACTAAATGCTTAAACACATTCAGGCTTTGGAAATAAAAAACATGCAGTGAGTTGTTATGCTTTACGGAACATGAATGCAAAAGAGTCATTACCCTGCTTACTTGGAGAAGATAAACATAAGGGCACCTTGAATGAGAGATTTGAGTGTGGTGTCCGGCCTCTGAATGTGAAGGTTACTGCCAACAGCAGCACATAACTTCACAGGTCTGCATAAAGACATTTCTGACATTTCACAATACACAGCAACAGTATAATTTGTCATAAAATCTGTACCTTTTACCGTTACAAAGCAGTCTTTGAGCTCCAGTCAAGTGACTTTGTCTAGGTTGAGATGATGTCGTAACGGCTCTTTCACAAGTGCGGCTAAACTAGGCATTGGAGAAGCGTTTTTAACGCTTCTCTGCCGCCTATTAACGCCCGTGTGTGATAAAACAATAGCAACCGCCCAGTACAGTTCACACACTGGCATCGGCGTTGTGGCAAAAAATAGATTGCATGTCGCGTTCTGTAGGCATTGCTGGCCAAATGGTGATGTCATCGCTAGCACCTCCTTTTTTTTTACATTTGGCTGGTATCTGTGAGTTTTCTCAGGTCACGGCCAAATCAAAACAAATGGCCATCGGCTGTCATTTGGGGGCAAGTGTTCATCGGGTGAGGATGAGTCGGCGGGCTTTTTTTCATTTCGACGGGTCGTTGTTGTCGACGACAATGCTGGATATTGTGATTAACCATTGGATTACTTCGATGGATGCATTTTTTGAATTTTTTTTAAATTAAAGTACCAACCAATGGGTCAGGGCTTGTGGGGAATCGGCACAGGGACAAGGTGCTTTTCCAGGGGAGACCCTGAAAAAGCGTCCTCCCAGTGCCGAGGGCATGTGGCCTGGTATGGTGCAGGGAGGGTGGGGGCCAGCCCCCCCTTTCCTGCCATCGGATCAAGGGTCTAATTGGGAATTGTAGGGGGGGACCCCATGTTAATTTTCCTGTTTTTTGGGGGGTGGCGTTCCCCCTTAAAATTCCTACTAAGCCTAAAAGGGCCTGGTATGACTTTTGGGGGAAACCCCATGCACTTTATTTTTACTTTAGGGGTCCCTCCTAACTTTCCAACCAGACCTAAAAGGGTCTGGTATGGATAGGGGGG